ATGCATGTAAAATTCTGCAGTTCCACTTAAAACGTGCAGGTTTGATTTGAAACATATCAATAACATAGAGCTCACTGGTGGCACATAAAACGAGCAGCATCATGGAGCTCAAGAGCTTTCCCACCGCAACATTTTATGATAAATGTGAATTCATTCTGTTTTAAGAACCCTGAGCTGCAGACTCCTCCTCTTGCTTTCAAGCTTGTGTGACATTTCAGTTATCAGACGGCGGTCAATTTCATGTCATGTGGTTTACGTGACAAATGCTGTCTGCTGTTGTCAAATTAAATGTGAGAATTACAGGAAAAATGGAAAAAGTCTGGCTTTATTTCCTGATTATCACCGGGTCTCTACAAATTTTTTTGTGTTATCTGTTCAAAAACGTAAGACAACACGTAGACTTTGCTACGTATGAAAATACTTAGTTCCTGCTTTTGCTTTTTCTAATGAACACATAGAGATTTTGAACAAAGTAATCCCTCCAGACTTGTTTTAAACTTGTGAATGGTCCTGGTTGGACCATTGTTTCTCTACAGCAGATGCTCATGCTGCTCTGACACACATGAATATCTTATACAATATGTCCAGTATGGATCATATCCCTGTTGAAGTCATAATTGGATTTGATTATATACCTGCTACAGGAAATTATGTAAACAGTCCTACAAAGGAATACTTTGACTGGTCTTCTCTCTCATCAGAAGATCAGGTGTCCTATTATGATTGCACTGATCAAATGTTATAATGCATCAAATTAAGAAGAGAAGCAGTTATGTGCACAGATGTTAACTGCTCCAACACTGAGCACAAAGCAGATATAAACTATAGTCCAAGCGTTACTTGATGCAAGCCAGTGTTTCACTCAAAGCAGAAAGAGAAGTAAAATTATGCGTGGTTGGAATACGTATGTGTCTCAAAGTCAAGGACAGAGAATTCTGCTGTTGTGTCCTTGGGCAAGACACTTAACCCACCTTGCCTGCTGGTGGTGGTCGGGACTGGTGGTAGCCTCACCTCTGTCAGTGTGCCCCAGGGCAGCTGTGGCTACATCGTAGCTCATCACCATCAGCATGTGAATGTGTGTGTGAATGGATGACTGATACACTGTAGTGTAAAGTGCTTTGGAGTCCTTTCTCTGAGAGGTGCTATTCAAGTGCGGGTCATTTATGTTTCATGGTTTTATTCCAGACTCCATGATGAACATTCTTTTGGTTCCTGTGTTGAAGAACAAATCAGGGAAAGTAGGCAGCTCAGATAACTACAGGCCCATTGCTCTTGCAAGCATTCTCTAAAGTTTTTGAACAAATACTACAGATAAGATTGGACAAATTGATACAATGTACTGACAACCAATTTGGATTTAAGCCTAAACATGGCACTGACATGTGCATATATGCTCTAAAGGAGCTCTCAAGTAGCTACCAAAACAAAAACTCAACTGTTTTTAATGTGTTTTTTTTAGATGCCTCCAAGGATTTCGATTGTGTGAACCACAGAAAATTATTTTATAAACTGTGGAAAGCTGGTGTGCCTAAGTACGTAGTTAGATGTTTGTCATATTGGTATACAAACCAGACCATGCGGGTCAAGTGGGCCAACTGTGTATCTGCACCTTTTCAGGTCTGTAACGGAGTAAGACAAGGGAGCATCTTAGCACCGGCATTGTTTAATTTTTATATGAACGATCTGTCTAAACAGTTAATTCAGTGTAGAGCTGGCTGTATGGCGGAGGGTACAGTAATAAATCATCTGATGTATGCTGATGACATAGTGGTATTTAGCCCAAGTTCAGCTGTTCTTCAGGAGCTTCTTAATGTGTGCTCTGTGTTTGGTGAACAGCATGCTGTTGAATTTAATCCTGCAAAAAGTATAATCATGATCTGTCGAACTAGAGGACAAATGGATCAGATTTCCTAACTTCAACCTATCTGGCTCTCTTTTAAGTGTTTCAAATGAAGTGAAATATTTGGATCATGTGCTGACAGACAACCTGTCAGATGATGAGGACATTTATCATCAGTGCCGAATGTTATATGCACAAGCGAATGTACTGTGTTGTAAATTTGGATATTGGTCTGTTAACGTCAAACTTCACTTGTTTAGAGCTTACTGTACCTCATTGTACGCAGCACATTTATGGTGGACCTAAACAGCCAGTATCCAGAGAGTGCAGGTGGCTTACAACGATGCATTAATACTTCTGGTAAAAAAAGCCCAGTTAACTGTTTGTTTCTGCCAGGGTCAGCACATTTAAAGCTGTTTTAAGAAATTTTATGTATAAATTTATATGCCGTCTTAATATGTCTAAGAACAGTGTCATCCTAACTCTGACTAATACCAGATATAGTGCTGTACGCTACACCTCTAATCTATGGAAGCACTGGTATGATTGTCTCTTGTAGGATACTGTTCTTCTTTAAACGAGTTTGTTATTTTCTTTTTAATGTCACCTTTGTATATTTTTCTATGTATTTTTTGGACCTTGAGTCTGCAATAAAGGCTACTACTACTACTGTTATATACCTACAGGTCTGGGAATGATACAAGTTTATTCTTGATACAGTTTTTTTTATTAAATTTGATATGAAAATGAAAACTACTCCGATAAAGGATGGATGAGTTTACGCCATAAAATAAAGTCATCTATTAAATACCAGAACACTTGTTCATTTTATTTGTGCATTAGATGTTTTGTTGAACTAAACATTGTTTTAAACACTATGAAGAGGTATTTATAACCCAGTAAGAATAAATTAGAAGTAATTCCAACAAGAAAATATGTTGGCCTTATTTATTTATTTTGTGAAGCTGATTCAACAGATGTACACTTCTTTCAACGCTTTCTAATGTTTTATTTTTATGGCCATAAAGTAAGGGAAAAAAGCATTTTATGAAACATATTTATACTGAGTTTATTTATTTATTTTTTGCATTAAAGTCATTATTTGGTGGCTTGGATCGAGCCTTATTTTTAATTAACAAATTTCTACTTTTAACATTGATCAGTAAATTTTCTGTCCATATTTGTCATCAAAGATGTGAGCGTTGTCACTCGCCAATCATTTGAATAATGGATTTGAAACTGTTGTCTATGTGTGTCCACAACCCTAACCCTAGTCATCCAACAGGTGATTTGTGTCAATATTCACACCTGTTTTAGATCATTTAAGCCTTGTTTTAACAGTTCATGCATTTGAAAGCTATAGCTGCTGTTCTCAGAGCTGTGAATTGGACCCAACCTTGCCTCTAGCACTCATCTTTCTGATGTTTGTGCAGAACTGGTTTGGGAGCAGGGTGTTCCGCCTCAAAGAGTTGACATGGGCCACTAAGACATTTTTTTGGCTCAAATTTCAACACTTTTGTGTTGATATTTACAGAAATGCTTCAGTGACTACCAGATTTGTAGAAGTCGTATCACATCAGTCAAAAAATCTACAACACCCCTAGTCCGAAACGTATTTTCACTCCATTCAGACCTAAGTCTTTGTGCCTCTTCCCATTTCTCGCTTCCACCCTTCATGTCTCCACGTCACCATGAAATAAAAACTTTATAAACCATATGTCACAATATGTAGCCCAACAATTCAATTAAACCCTTTCTGTTTTTTCTAAATGATTTTAGAATTGGTTTAGCACCATTTTGGGGTGGGGTCTGGTGGGATTCTGGCTCTTCTGCTTTTTTTTCCAGAGATGGATGTTGTACACAGTTTCCAGTTAACAAAGCCTGCTTGACTGCACAATGGATTGTGATTAGATTAAAGCTGCTCTGTAAGAGCTTTTCGTTTGTGTTAAAGTGGGTTTTATCTCAGAGGTTGACAGGGCCAAGCCAGGGCACCGAAGAGGAGGTTTCTTCAAAAAGGAACACAGGAACACATGAAGGCCATAATGTCAGCACTCTGTTTGACAGTCGGACAACTTGCATGACGCATTCAAGCACAAAGACTCAGAAAATAGTGCTGCTGCTGCTGATGGCGGAGAAATGTGGGGAGAGTCTGATGGATGGAACACAGTGCTCATTAGAAAAAAACCTCAGAAATGAACAGAATAATAAGAAAGACAGAATGCCTTGGGAGCGTGCATGTCACTGCCTTCCTCTTGCACTTACGCCGAAGACCCTCTGCTGTCCTCTGTCTATCCAAGTGTAGCTGGTGCTATGAGCAATCAGCCTGGTGAATCATTTCATGGATCACCACACAGAAGTCCAGAACGCTCAGAGGATTTGCAACATTTCCACCATTACCACTCATGTCATAACAGCCCAGCGTCATCACAAATGATGGCGGCACTTGATATCATTCACCCAAACTTGGACTGCGCACACACGAGCGTTATGAAACACCCATCTGAAGCAAGGGGTTGTGCCTCAGGTTGTACCTTGAGGTGCAGCCCCTTCTGCAGCTTTGACTCAGCCTGGTCTAAATAGAAAACGTTGCACGTTTGTTTATGAAGACGAAGACGAAATAAAAAATTGGTTCAAGCAGCAACAGTGTCAAATAAACAGGATGTTCCTATGTTTGAAGAAGAGTAGAGTTTTATGTCCATAAGTGGACACACGAGGACCTCTACCGCTGTAACCTAATTATGGTAAAATGGAACACTTTAGGTGAAAACCAATAAGTCTGCTGCAACAGGTAATCTCATTACACCTCCATTACATCAGAGGCTATGGAAATAGCAACGCATTTATTTATTTATTTTATTTGGGGTAGAGCTTCAGGGACATAGGAGGTGAAAACACTGATCCAGTATGGCTTTTACACAGAAATGTAAGTATACTGCAGCTGTGCTGTGTTGGTGGTCACCAGGCACCTAAAGAGTCCCGACGTGTGATGATGAAGTAAAACAAGTTCACAGGAAATTAGCTCATTGGCTAAAACTTTGAAAAAGTGGGAGCTATTTCTGTGAAGGATCTGCATGACTTTAAGAAGCACTGCAGATGCTAAAACTTCCTAACCATTATCAGCAATAATTTTCCTGAGGCTGTGAAACCATCTGCTCCCTACCTTCGTTGAGTCCCATGTGGATGGCCCAGTAGTTCTGTAGGCACTGCATCTCGTTCTTCATGCCCCTCTTGCAGCGGCAGTTGTACAGAGGGCTCACCAGCAGCACCTCCAAGGCAGCCTGGCAGTCCCTATTGTTATCCAGCATGGCTTCTTTCTCCTTGCCCACAAGGCACTGGCGCATCACCCGGTACTGAGAGCTGCAGAAAGGGTTCTGGTTGCACATGTCAGTCGCCTGGATGCAGTCCACCCTCTCTGGCTGGTCCTCACGTCTCGACCTGGTGTATGAAGATCCGGGAGTCCCACGGGCCAGGGGCACAAACAAAGCTGACGGACCATCCCAGGAACTTGTTTCATCTAAAAGTAAGGAGAAGAGGACAGATTTGGTGTTGACACCAGAATGGTTTAGTGTGTGTATCCATGTGCTTGCAGAGTCCAGCATAATAAATGTGATTCATATTTGTTCTACTGCTCATGCAACAAACAAGATGATCTAAGATGTGTCCATACATGCCAGCCTGACGGCCCCTCTTCTTAAGGCTGCATACTTCTAAGTTTTAATATCCTTTAATCTCTCTTGATTTTATTCCATGAGTTTACCTCCATGCCTTCCTCCCCTGCTTTACAATCACTGCAACTGGAAAGAATCTGCTTGAAAACTCTTAAATCTGACAAAAGCACTCAGTTAATTTATAACATCTAATCACCTCGAGTTTATTGTGCATCTAATCAACAAGCACACCCACTTTTGACTCTAGATGAGCAGAAAATGAGCTTATAGTCATCTGCAATGCTGTTTTACAAGAGTCGGGATACAAAGCAACCTTTACAAGGAACAAGGAAAGTCCAGAAGACTTTGGTGACATGACAAGAGAGACCCCTGGTGATGGCCCGGAGAACTGAGTGTTGGCTGCAACAGTACAAAAAAGCCACAGTCCACCAAGTTAAACACACTTTGACAGTTAGATTGTTTTATTAGAGCACCGATGGCACAATTAGGATTGGGTTTATTCAAATTCAAAGATAATTTATTAATCCCAGAGGGAAATTAGAGCTTCTAACATGGTGGTGACTGATTTGGGGTTTGGAGCTAGAATTCATAATAACTGATCAACTTAAAAACATCAGTAAAAACATCTTTTACATGAAAATCTAAAAGTTGATTGAAGCCAAATTAAGCTTTTTGAATTTTACATAAAACGAGAGAGAGAGAGAGAGAGAGAGAGAGCGAGAGAGAGAGAGAGAGAGAGAGAGAGTTTAAAGGAATCAAGTTGGCCATGCAGCTGATGGATATAGTGGCTTATAAGTTCAGTTTGTTGCCATATTTGATATAAAATTTTATTTAATCGACTAAATCAGTGACTAATTCAGAAAGGTCAGATATGTATTCCTCCATAACAAATTACTCTTAAGAGCTCTAATTTAAAAAATAGCCACCTATGACTACATTTCTTGGTTGTATTCTGTCAAAAATGCACATTTTGCACACGTTTTCGTGTTTTCCTTCCTTACCTAAGAGCAGGAGAAAAACGCACATCCACACTGTGTCAGACTTCATGTTGGACTCAGCTGAAGGAAGATTATTCTGGGTCCAATTAGACTAATATCTCCACCTCTTCCAAGGGATACAATTCCTCTCCGGATTCTTGGCCAAGTCGTGGTCTAACTGGATAAAATCAATATCCTCATTTACCCCCAAAGAAAGCCGTGTTCCTTAACAGAAAGAATCAAAACCAACAATCCTCGACGCCCAATAAAATGGGAAAAATCGACAATCCTTTGGACTACCGCACTAACCACAGCACTGGAACATCTCCTGGTGTTTGAGAGGGAAAACAGAAGAAAATAAATAAATTCACTCAAACAGACAAACTGTCAATCCATGAAAGCTGTTTCTCAGGGTCCGTGTGCGCTGCGCTCATTCCGACAAACTACTAAGACTTGATGTGTCCGCATTATGAGCGCAGAAGCTCCGCTTCTCCAGCCCCCTTCCAGACAGTTAGTCCCATAAATAGTTCCCAAACTGCCTCAGAATAATCCCAATCCAAGCCAACACATCTAAGGCGGAGGGAATACTGATCTGAAAGTCTTGCGAACCGCTGACTGGATTTTTTCTTTCTTGCATCTGGCTTTCTGCGCTCCTTTTCCTCTGACTGCACGCCCGTCGAGGCATCGCGGCACTTTATAAAGAGGCGCAGGTCCAGCAGAGGGCGCTGCGCACGAGCGCTCTCATTGGAAACAGTCTCACGCGCGCGCGCGCACTAATACACACACAGAGGACCAGGTAATAAATGTTACCCCACAGAAGAGCTCCGCGACGTGGTAATTTTCCTGCTGGGAGAGGATGCATCAGTGCTTCTCAGCATGTGAAATTGCACTGACCTCACATGGCACGCGCGGTATTTCTTCTGATCTTCATGCAGCACTGCTATAGGATTTTCATTGAAAGAACACATTCTGTGGAACAATTTCTGTGATTCATTATATCCTTCTGAAGTGATTACTATCTCGTTTATAGGGGGAGTCTTTACGGCTCTGTTCAGTATTCAGGTATAGGAGTGAGCTGCGGCAGGATGAGGAGGAGGAGGCCACTACTGCAACAGATCAAGGAATGAATTAGAAGGAAATGATGACTGCGTTTAGACTCGAAGCCAGACAAGCCAACCCATCAGTTTTCTATTAATTTCTGTGGAAAACTTGAGTTTCTTCCCTTCAGCAGCAGAAATCTGCAAATAATTTTAGGCGTAGAGTTCAAAGGTGAGCACAGCAAAGATGAAGAGAATGTCACCATTCATTTCTGTAATATGCAAACTCTTTGTGCTTTATCAGTGGCTCCTCAGATCTGCATGATAAAAAGAAGACAAAAAATGTAAGACAGTGTCTCATTTCATAGAGCTCTTTTATTTATTTATTTATTTGCTCAGAGGAAATAAGCTAAGCCCACAACCAGCTGAATCTGCCATTTTTCAAAGTAGCTTTGCATCAAACAAAATGACTTTGTTGTGCATCACTGCTTAAATACTGCCTAGAATGTCATAAATCTTTACAAATCTTGAAAAACAAAGTCTCCATTTAGCCGCGGTGACAGTGACAAACTGCATGGCCGCTGGCTCATAATGACGTTTGACTGTCAGCCCAGGCTTCCGTCCAAGAGGGAAAAGAGCTCACCATTATAACGGCAAAAACTCAGCCTCATTCTGCCTATATTGGCCCTGGCTTGTACTTGTCCCTTGAGTTTGAAGTCTCTGTGTTATGAGGACTCTGTAAAGCATCATGCACCCTCATGAATATTCTCCATTGTCCTGGAACAGCGCTAAAGTGCCTCATTTTGACTCCTCAAGCAGTTCTAAAGCAGAATGCATTCCCTAAAACAAAATGGAAATGTGTTATTTATAGGAATACAAGAACTGTTTAATTATTTTCATCATCAGAGAGAGATTTGATCAGGCAAGTTCTTAGTGCAAAGAAAAAGTTAATTTAAAAAGACGCATTATGAGAAGGAAAACATAAGAAAAGATGAAAAAATTAGCACCTAGAAATGAAATTGGGATAGAAGTAAGGGAGATTAGCATTGTGCATTCTTAATTAGGCGTCACCTCTCAGAAACACTAAGAAATGTATGTTTTTAATACATTTTATGGCTAAAATCACAATGTAGTTTCCAGAAAATATGTTTTTGTAATCTTGTCTAATACTAAAGACTTTTCTGGAAACCGCTCCTTTAAATAAACAAGTGAAACTCTAATTATGTGTGTATTTACTTTAATGCCATGTAGATAAAAATCTCTCCTCACATGTTTCCTTCCTGTCAGGTCCAAGGTCAGATTCTGTTATTGTTGACTTGCACAATTCACCCTCTCTGTGGGTATTTAATAGCTTCATTCTGACTTTATAATACATTAGCATGTTTTTCTGCTTGCACAATTAAAATAAATAAATAAATAAATAAAAGAGTACACAGGAAAACGAACACACTTTTGCATGACTTGGGCACATGTAAATGTGAATATAGAACACAGTGGTCTCTCCACTGAGACAACGTCTCCTAAAAGTGTCTAATATAGTGAATCTAGGTGGTTCCTTTAGAAATTCATGGGAAAGAGTAAAGGTTGAGACTTGATGCAGTGCTTTGTGCTGAGTAGGACCGCTGGCAGGGGCTCCGGCTTACTCTGATAGGGCAAATCACAGCTTGGACAATCAAATACCAGCGCCTTGAACATGTGACAAACCCAAAGGTGCAAAAGGTACTTTGTAATTATTGTGTTACAAAGTTTGTTGTTTTCATATTTTGTCATGACATTCTAAAAGGTTCAGGCAAACATTTGAAATGTAGCATATAATGTATATGTGAGGTTTTACCAGTTTGGGCAACATTGCTAAAGACATCCATCCATCCATCCATTTTCAATCTCTTAGGTCAGATCACCAAGGTAACAGGCCCAAGAGGCAAAGGCATTCCTCTTCCTTGCCGTGTTCTCCAGCTACTTCTGGTGGATCTTAAAGTTTTCCCTTCTTCTTCAGAAATCCTTGAGATGAAGGTGACCAGGAGGCATCCAATGATCAAACCCTTTCAGCTGACTCCTCTTAATAAGGAACAGCAGCAGTTCAACTCAGAATCCCCTTCTAGATGATGGTGCCCCCCACCTCATCTCAAAGGTTGAGCTTGGTCACAACAGAAGATCATTATAAGTAACAGTAAACCGAGTTTTGTGTTTTGGTCAAGCTCCTTCCTTACCACAATACTCCAAACAGAACCGCATGTCAGTCCATCTCTTGCTTCATCGTTCTAGAACCAAGATACTTCCTCTTGAGACAAAGACTCAGCTCCACCTTGTAGGATTTCACCTTATTTTGGGTCCAGAATGATGAACTTGAACCTGAAGGAGAAGACTCTCCAGGCTGTCTGTCCTTCAACTGATCCAGTGAATCAACAGAAGAAGAAGAAAAAAAACAGACCTGGTCCCCAGAGGTTCTCAAACTAGTGACCTTCTTTCCATAACTACCCCTTGAGATCCTGACAATGAAAACTTCAAAAGCGTTGAGGTTAAGGAGTTGGGTATGAGGTAGAGAAGTGGACAGGGAGCTTGTGCTGGGACAGTCCTCTGTAAAGACATGCATGAGCTGACAATCCTTAACTAAATGCATTTAGGTCAAACATATTTATTTTTAATTCTAGCATTTTTTTAGGAGTTTAATTATTCATTTAGGATCGAATTATGTATAATACCAAAGGACATTCAATGTCTTGAGCTGCAAAAGAACTTTACCTCTTTAATAGTTACGGTTATTTTTTTTAATCTTTAGTAATTCTATATATGTTCAACACTTGCTCTTTTAACATTGTAACGATTTGTTAGTTACATCTTAAGTAATGACCCATAAAATGTGAGATTCCATAGGAAATGTGAAATAAATTTGGTGGATCTTTGAATATTACTTTAACCAGAAGATCGGAACTTTTTATTGCAGGGATTAGATAACACTTTGTATTAACCCAGAGATGAGAGAGAGAGAGAGAGAGAGAGAGAGAGAGAGAGAGAGAGAGAGAGAGAGAGAGAGAGAGAGAGAGAGAGAGAGAGAGAGAGAGAGAAGTTTAAAAGTTTAAGAAGATTTATTTCTAAACAATTTAAACAAGGCTAACTAACTTTAAACACTGTGTGATGAATGGATCTAGGTGTGAATGAGGCAAGACGGAGGGTGTAATGTGGAATGTTGTTATCAGAACTCTCGTTTTCAGAGAAGCGTTTGTTCTGTGTGGGAGCGAATGTTTTGCTCTAAACTACAGTTGGAGTTTCAAAACCACATTCAGATGTCATATTGCCGCTCTACATACCCTTGTCGGAGACCTCCGTTTTAGATCCAGAATGCCAGGTCCTCGGAACCCCTTTTGGTACCATAGCCGATGAAATAGCGTACGGTACGACAGACTAGTCTTGGAATGCCTCCAGGTAAGCGACAGGTGTTTGACAGCATCAGCGGGACCCTGAAGGGTCAATGAGCTCAGCTTTTACTCTGAAGGAACTTTGCATTCAGATGTAGCTTGTAACAGGTTTTATTGTCCAGCTTGTCAAGGTTCTTTGTGGTTAAAAAGTTACGAGTGGCCGGCTAAAACTCTAGAACGTTTGACCTGAGTTAAGGGTGATGTGGGAATTAGTTTTATAATTCAGATGTTTTGATTTATGGTCGAATCAGAATTTGACATCAAAATAAACACCGCACAGACCACGCCACGCATCAGAAAGGAAAGCTGTGATTGGAGAGACAAAAGAAATGTGTCATGTGATTTTAACATTACTTGTGTCATAGGAGGAGTGTCTAGTGCTTCTGTACCAAGTTAATTCTTATACAAAACCACTGATTACAGTATTATAATTCAAGTAATTAACATTCTCATTTCACAGATTGATTGAACATTAGGCTTCACATGATTATTTGGACTAACAAAATTATTTGATTATTATTTGAAGAAAAAGAGTTCTTGGTCTTCTTTCTTGTGCTGTAGGGGGAGGCAAATAGCTAGTTAAAACAGTTTAGATGGAGAGGCATCAAAGGCCTTGAGCAATATCTCAAGGAGATTAGTTCTTCATGAGGAGAGAGGGGAGATGACCTTTAGGTGGAAAACAGTCCCTTCATGATGTTACAACATATAATTCACTTTGCATTTTTTTGTGACATAAATGTCCTGTTTTGCATTTACACTAGCTGAGATCCACAGGTTCATTATAAATAAATAAATAAATAAATAAATAAATAAATAAATAAATAAATAAATAAATAAATAAATGTATGTTTGGTGGAATTCTTGAATTTTAAAGAGGACATATTATGCTAAATGCAAGGAATCAAACAGCTGAGATCGCTTCATGTGAGACGGATTTAGCGCAAAGAACTTCGTGATCATGTTTTGTATCCACCGTAGAACCATTGTCATGATATGTCCCTTTAAATCTTTATTAGAGCTTTGCAGGGGATGTTTTTATCATCTTTCCAAACTATCAAATCACTACATAAAACTTATTTTTTAATGTGTTGTTAAATCTGCCCTTACTTTTTAACCTGCTCTTATTTATTTTAGGTGTTGCTCAGTTGTTTATGTGTATTGCTTTTATCTCTTATTTGTTTGCATTTTTTTAAATGTAAAAGTGCTTACAAGAAACGTATTATTATTATTATTATTATTATTATTATTATTATTATTATTATTATTATTATTAAATCTTAGTAAAATATACATTTGAGGTAAAAAAGGTAAACATATGTCTTTGTGTTGCTTTCTTTTGGAGAGAATACTAATGAACATGAGCAACGCACACACACACACACACACACACACACACACATACACACACACACACACACACACCTACACACACACACACACACACACACACACACACACACACACACACAAATACATGCAAGCACTTTGAGAAATTAAGCATGACTGATTAGATTAGGAATTATGGGCTAATTAATGTGTTTCTAGGAGACCTGAACAACTTGTTTAATGGGAGATGGGGTCGAAGTTGAGCAAAGAATCTGCCAAAAACATACATTTGCCTGATGTTTATCGAGTAAAGCGCAACTTTAATGTATTATTCAAATTATATTTAAGCATTACACAGCAGCTTTAACACATTCCGTATCATTTAGTAATATGGGCGGCTGAGGATGAAACTCCCACCTGTGCTGTTCAGTTATGACTTGTTGAAAATTGAGACCTACTGTTGAAAAATATCTTTAAAACTCACCAACTGAAAGTCTTCACTAAAAGTAATTTTGACACACTAAAAATAATAAGGTCATAATATATTCCTGTTTATGAAACATGATGTAGATGAAACCTCTCAGCTTTTACGCAAAGTGCCTGCAAAAGGTACAGAGTCACTTCAAATCTTCTAATTTAAATAAATGCAAAAGTGAAAACAGCAATTAGGAGCAGAGTATTCAATCCAGCATGGTGTCAAGTTGGGGAGCTGATTATAATGTAACACTTTAAATAATAATATCAATAGCATTTTCTCAGTTTTAGCATTTTAACAGCTCCGTTTTGTCACATTTTGCTTCTTTTTTTTACATCTTCTTCTTGCTACATTTATTTATAAAAGTAAAGAGGTGTGAATAAATAATGATAAAAAAATAAACTTGGAGAAAAGAAAGGAAAGCATCCTTTTGGTTGATTATTCATTAGCTGTAATAATGCTACAAGCACGACATTTCATAACTTATTGTGACACTTTTTTTAGAAATAAATCTAAATATTTAATGGAATATAAATACATGAACTTATATATTTAGATTTCGGTAATGAGAAATTATAAAGCCATCATATATTGTTTATAATCTAAACATATAAAATTAAATCTAAATATTGCATCTAAATTATCGTTACTAAATATTAAGCTAACACAAGCTGTAGCTAGCTCACAAAAAGAAAAGCATGGTGAAGAAATCCCCTTGCTAATGTCTAAGGATTCCTTTGATGATGAGCCTGATGTTCCTGTCTTTTTTCCGTCTATGTTTGGAAAAAAAAAATAATAATAATCAAAATGGCTTTCAGAACTCCTTCAGACATGTGTTATGTAGATAAAACATTCACTTTGCAAGTCAGTGGTAGAGTCGCGTTGCTTTTATCCAATCTGAGGTGAGATTTACACATTTTTTTGAAAAAAAAAAATACTTGCAGTTTGAAGCTCAGCTGTGATGTGGCTCACTTTTAGTTCCTGGAAATGCAACACATTCTCACTCCCAGCGCGTCAAAAACAAACGCTTGGTCAGCCACCCTCCTCGTCAGACCCCTAACGCCAAAAGTGCCCTTTTTCGTTACTTATGTGCAAAAAGGGGCTTTTCCCTTATTTGACTGCAGATCCCAATGCAGCGTAAAACTGAAGTGATGGGATGTCTGCTACCGTTGCATCCCAATGCAGCGTTACAATGTGTTGGGAAATGGTGCACCGGTGTGCCCCTGACCCCCTCACCCCCCCCACCACCCCCCAACCCCACCCCCCCCCCACACACACACACACACGGAGTACGAGTTACAAGGCAATCATTCCTACAAGAGGCCGCTGAAAATGTATTGATTAAACGAGTGCTCCACACTTTTAAGTTAATATCATTTGATTCTCAATATTTACTTTTAACATTATTAGAAGTTAAATGTGGTAAAATGTAGCTGCTAATTTTTGAATATCTTACCATATTATGTGCCCCATTTTAGAGTACAGAACTAATGCATCAGGTTTCCATTGGCTACCAATTTATTACAACAACTAAAAAAACATTTAAAATGTGCACATATGATACTTTTGCCAGACAACTTTGTTTTGGGTTGTTTTTATCCAACATGAAATCACGGCATGACCTCCCCTAAGAACCTCTGAAAGCTATTGACCAGTTAGATCCATTTGTTTTGCAGCCATTTCAGACGTTGTTCATTTGTATCACATTACTTGGACAGAAATTGAATTTCCTCTGATGCGTTTTTATGTTTCTTAAGTGCTATTGGGTGCTCTCAGGGAGTATAGCATTTCCAATGGTGTGATGATGCAAAAACACAGAAGAAATGGTGAAACGTTTATTTTCATATGTGGTTCTTATCTAAAAAAAAACATACAATCAGCAAGATGATCAGCCCATTTTCTAAAAACGTGTTAGTTTCTGCAGCCAGCAGTGATGAAATGCATCAGTTCCTTTCAAACAAAATGATTCTGCAGTTTTCCTCAGCTCTTACATCCCATCCTCAGGTTTTCCCCAGCACCGGAGTGCATTGATATCAAGAGAGATTTTCTATCCTCTGGAGAAAGTGGATGGCTGCTGGATCTGTTTCAGAAAATTGCTATGAAGTTGCGAAAAGTGGCGCATCTAGCCCATCTCGTTAAACACGCCGTGGGTCCCACACGGGATATTGACAGGGACTTCGGCTCTTCCCAGCTCTGTGAAGGTCTTGGCATCCAGAACAAGCAGGAAAGTACTTTTCTCCTGGAAACAGAAGAGTTAAAAAAAAAAGAAAAGTTGTTCACTAATAAAAGCTTAACCAGCAGAGCATTTGTCTTCTCTATCATCAGTTTAAAAATGAATGTTCTAGATGCAGATAAATTCTTTGCCATGTGTTTATTTTTCTTTGTAAACATTATGATGAGTTCTGCTTATTTTTAAACTACCTTTCTAGGTGTGATGATGACTGACAACACCACTCCATCATCTTCCTCAGCAGCTTTGGGCGAAGCAACAAAGACAGGCTCAGACGGGTACAAGCCGGGATAACGCCACACCTAGACAGGGAAGATTACACAGACGAAGACTCCACTTTCATGTCAGGAAAACCAACTGGTGTGATGCAAAAAAGATCTTTGATGTGGTAACACCAGATCCAGTTTACAATGACCTCTATGTAAGGGATTAAAGAAATACCTTTAGCTCTTTGGTACGGACATCCATCTTGAGAAGGGAGTCGGCGAATACGTGTCCAAATCCACACGCATAAAAGTAACGGTAAGGTTTACCGTTGTGCTTGTTGTAATTGATCTGAGGAAACTCGAGGCCACCGTACTGCAGCAGCTCATCACCGTGAAGCTCCTCGTGGGTCACATAAACCTGTTGGAGCAGAGTCACATAAACCTGTTGGAGCCGAATTTAATGCAAACAAAGGCCAAGTGTACGTGAAGATGCTGAAAGGGCTTCTCAAACTCTAAAGTAGAGATGTTCCAATAATGTCTTTTTGCTCCCGATCCGATTCCCAGTCATTAGATTGATGATCCGATACTTCTCAGGAAAGAATTAAAATAGGTAGAAAAGAAATAATTTTAGAAGTACATTAAAATAAGAAGAAAACACATCCAAGTTGTCCTTTAAGTTTTACTTTCACTTGTTTTGGAAGTAGACTGAATATAACACATGTTTATAATGTGAACATATTTAAAAGTAGCAGTGTTGCTATTAATTCAAGCTGTTTACTCCCTGCAGCTGTATTTAGCGATGTACGTTCCTGTGACGGGGCATCCACACAGCGTCTTGGCAGACTAACTTTCCTTTGCTGGCTCGTTCTACGTTTTTGTCTGAGTTCACTGTGAACTGAAACTGTTAAAGGCAATCTGGGAATTAATAGAGACCGGTGATTTGCTTTGTTGATGCCCGACGGGATAAACCAAAAGCAAGAGTAGTCTGTTTGAAGGCAGCGAATCATGGATCCGTGTCCTTCCTAGAATGCTGAATGTCCAGTAGGCACTCAATACAAGTGTCTGTTGCTCTGCCTTCACTGTCCAGTTTCAAACACCACCAAGCTGAAGACATTTTAGCTCTCCTAAGGAGACACGTTGCAAACAGCTGCACCTTGGTGTCTGAACCCCTGCCTTCTGTAAATTGTGTGATGTTATTGTGTTTAGTATGAAAAAACAAAAAATACTGTTGCAGAGAAACTTGCTGAAATTAACACTAAGCTGTTGTTATACCATTTGAAAATCTCTATCTCAGGATGAAATAAAAAAGTCATGTTTGTTGTTTTCAGAGGTTAAATCTGATATTTTTCTCCCGATCCCAATCCATGTAAATGACTTGATTGGGGCCGATTTCCAATCAAGTGATTGAATTGGAGCATTCCTACTCTAAAGTCAAACAAAAATCCATATTGAGACATTTGCCAGTGAAAAAAACTAACACATAAAACATTTCTGTTTAACTAACTGCCACCTTTTTCAACAAATGGATACTTTCAATGTCCACAGCTGACTTTCAGCTGTGCATAACATAACTGCAAATAAGAATTAATACTGACGAAAGTCTACTCAGGTAGTCATAGCAACTAAAACATCGTCTTGTCTCTCAGTGATCCAGCTTTATTGTGCCATAAGAAAACGGCGGACTGAAAGAGTGTGTGGGCCTCACAGAAGCTTTTAAATTACAATAGTTCGATGCATGTGTTGTATCCTCTGTCCCAGTAAATTGAGAGAGGTAAGTGGTTGCTTTTGAGCTAAACTAAGAAACTGAGACAGCACTCGTCTATGCTCCATTTTGTTATATTCAAAAGAACCCAGAAACTTCTCTGCGCAGGCACAAAATACAGCTTTTTGTTCAGCCAAAAGTAATCGATCACACAATCATCGAGCGCCCAGTGCTCTGTGAGATAAACTGCAAAAATAACATGTATTTATATTTTAGTACTGTATTTCTCTATTCTATGCAATAACAACCATGACAACAATAAATATAAAATTTTGTATGGCTCCTTTTTAACAGTATAAACTGGTCTCTTGAACCTATACCTTTTTGTAGCCTATAATCTGTCACAATACTCCCCCTCAAAATAGACGTTGTCCCCAACATCAGGACATGAACCACACAACAAAACTCTTGTGGCATTCCAACCGAATACCGAATACAGTCACAGACTGGACTGCAGACATGTATTGTCCCAACAGTCCATGACCCTATGGAGAACAAACACATCACACTTATCACGTAAAAAACAAGAAGAAAAAAATAAATTAAAAAAAAGTACCGTACCATCACAGCCCAACCAAAACATGTGAGGCCTTAAACATATGGATGTGTGGATGTATACTGTAAACCCACAGCATGCTCTGTTCCGGGTAATAACACAGACTGTATGTAATAACAAATTGGTGTACCCAATGTATCAGAAGTGAATACTTTAGGTTTTCTACAGTCACGCTTGGGTCTTTGAGTCACTCCTTGGGCAGGTTCATCGAAAGAAGATGAAAAAGGCGAGTGAGAAGAAGGAACCTCAAGACGCTGAACCTCAACCTGACCAATGTCATCTTCGAATGGTTCCTTAACCTGACCATGTCATCTTCGGATGGTTGGTCAGCTTCTGTAGCTCCAGGTTCTGCCCTCCTCAGCTCATCCACAGGCCCACTGTATTCCTGGTGGGCCGGCCCGAGGTCTCAGCTGGCTGTGGGGAATCAGAGTTTGAACGCGGACAAGGAACCGGAAAATACTCATTGTCGTTGTCGGAGTTGGCCTCTGGTGTCTCAGATGACCTGGCAAAGATTGTTTGCTTTGGCCGAGACTGCAAGGGAGTTTCCAATGGCAAATAGTCACATGGCAGTAAGAGATTTCGATGCAAAGTTCTAGACCTGCCTTTTCCCTTCTCAGGTTTCAGTTCTTCGATAGGATTGTCTTTACTCACTTGACGGACAACGGTATGAATAACATCCTCCCAATGATTTCTCAGTTTGCCTGTTCCCCCACGTGGAGTCAAGTTCCTAACTAAAATGCGATCACCAGGCAACAGGGCAGAATACCTCACCTTCCTGTCATACAGATACTTACTCTGAACAGCAGCTTTAGCCACATTCTCCTGAGTGATCTCATAAGCCTCTTTCATACCCTGCCTCCACCTTTGCATGTAGCTTTGATGGTCAATATGACCCTGGTCTGTATTTGGAGATAAACTGAACAACATGTCCACTGGTAACCGCGGTGACCATCCATAAAGCAAGTAAAAGAGAGAAAACCCTGCCACTCCACTCTTCGTAGCGTTATATGCACAAACCAGTTTATTCAGGGAGTCTTTCCAGTTACCCGTCTGTTTCTCAGTGAGCATTTTCAACATGTGAATCAAAGTCTGGTTAAATCGCTCAACTTGCCCGTTTCCCTGTGGGTGAGAAGGGCTGCTTCTTGATCCTGTAACCCTGCAGTATTTCTGCAGTTGCGCAAAAAGCTGATTCTCAAACTCACCACCTTGGTCCTTGGGGTCCCATTGTTCACTGGTGGTGCATTCTGTAATCTTCTGAACCGATATCTTATTTACTGCATTAAACCGGATGTCTCTTTTGAAGATGTCAGCAGGGTAGACCGACCCCACTGTTTGCACAGTTCCCACATGGGTTCGCCCTGGCAATGTGATGTCGTGGCCGGTAGGGTTTTGTGCACTAAGAAAGGTCTTAGGGGTGGACCCCCCTTCACTGAGACTAATGACTATGTTTACATGCAGCCAATATCCGGGTTATGATCGGGTTAAGGTCGGTATTCGGGTTTCTGAGTTGATCAGAATAACCCGTTTACAAGCATAAATAGAAAGAGTTACCCCTAACTTGCATAACCCGATTTAAATGCGGACGCTGGGGTAGCGTCAGGACGTATGGACTACGTCCAGACGCAATATGCCTCATTTCCGGTTCTTCTTGTTCCGGTATCCGTGAAAACAACATGTTTCCCAGTTCGGAAGAGATAGCGACCGCATTTGTTTGTGCTTTAGTTTCTTCGTCACTCCAAAAGTGTGGTGCTGTGCTGCGACTCGCCATGTTGCTCCCAGCTTGTTGTTTACTTCAGGTGTTCTGGCGCATACAAGACGTCTCGCTACTCAAAAGACCAAGATTCCTTGCGAACAGAGCATGCGCAGAACACACGCTTTGATGGGGATATCCCGATATGCGTTTACACGACCAAACATTCGGGTTAGAAAAGGGTTACCCCAGGTGTAGTAACCGGGTTTTTAAAAACCCGGTCATGAGCATATCCGGGTTTTTGGCGGTGTTTACAAGGACCTGCGGAACTGGGTTATTGTGAATATTTGGGTTTTAAAAGGGTTACTGACTGCATGTAAACGCACTGATTGTCTCACAAAACTCTAGGCCATCTGGCCACTGAGGGTTTTCACAAGGCTCAAAAATCAAAGCAATGTTGTCTTCAAATGCTTTAGTCTGCACTGCACTCAAAAGTTTATCTTTTTCCCCTGAGTAATTCCCATCTTTTGTATTTTCTGAAACCAAGTGCTTGATGACATTAAACCCTATTATTGGGCACTGCTGCTGGTTGCACTAAAACAGGTCTCAATAATTCAGAGTCATTAGCTAGAAGTTTGAATGGTATCTCAACCCAACCCATATATGGCATCTCAGTACTATGGTGGGCCGGCCCCAGCCAATGGGCTGCTTCGATCTGAAGGTGTTCGTTTGAGCTGATAAGTTTGCTTACATCTCTCACTGGTACATCAGGTCAGTTCGTGTCTTTCCGTAACTCATCTATAGCACAAACCTGTGAACCTGAGATCCAAAGTGCATCAACCCTTTTGTTACCTAAAATGCATTTAATAAGACACTTTCTCCCAACTATCTGTTTGACAGATGGTATTTTATTTTCTTTACCCTGTATGGCTCTGACTGATTTTTGCGAGATCCCTTACTCCTGTGATGAACTCTACCACAGGTGTAGGGTTTACATTTAAGTTTGTGTACGGCCCAGTGCTCCTCTTGGAATCATCTGGAACAGTAAAAGGTACTCTTGCTTGCAGAGCAACATTTTAAGTTCTGATTTGTGCTTTCTAAGGTACAATTATCACAACACTGGGACCTATCAGAGCCACTGGTCACCCCATGTCCCTTTGGACCCCTTCTAGTTTGAAGGCTTATCTCAAGTTGGTTTCACTGCCCTCTGGGCTTTACAGCCTGCCTGAAAATGCTCACTGCTGCCACATCTAAAACAGTGTGGACGAAATTCTTCACCCGCTTGGATGCAAGCATAACACCTGGTTTGGGGGCGAGGCACGTGGTAACGTTGAGGGGCGAAAGGCTGTTGGAACGGGGCAGTGCCTCCCATTGGTGCAGGGCTGAGTGCTGGGTAGTATGGAGCCTGAAGAGCTGTTTGGGGGTGGAAGTGTTGAACGGATGAGTCTGGTTGAAATGACGGATGAGGCGCAAAGGTGGGTGTCGAGGAGTGGTTCCCAGGCCCTCCGCTGGTGGGTTACGTCGTGGACTTCTGCATTGCGTCTCTGATTTGTGACACCTCAGCTCACAGGTCTTTTAAGAGCACCATCTCGGATCACATCTCTTTAATCTCTGACAGCAAATCAGGAGATAGAGTAGCTGCGCTTTGCTTTTGGACAGCCTTTTTCTCCGCTTGAGCTGTGATGTCACTGGGGTGCACAGCATTCACTATGTTCCCTCGCGGAAAAACAGTAGGTTTCCTCTTATATTGTTGTTCCTTTTCATTTGCACATGCTATATTCACTTTCTCCAACAAAACTTCATCTGAGGTAGTGGTCTGGAGAAGGTAGGGCTGCATGTCACTCTTCACATTATCACTCTGCAGGCCTGTCAGGATGGTGTGCATAAATAAACTTTGAACCAAGGCAGGATCATATTTGAGACTCGAATCAGCTTCTTGTGATGCAAAGAGTATCTTCTGATGAAGGTCCATAGCTCTCAAGAGGAAGTTTTGTGGGGTTTACTTGCAATTCTGAACTTCTGATGAAAGCTGCTTATATAGTTCAGTGGCTCCTCTCTCTTGGTAATGAGACCCAAGGATCCTCCGCAGGGCGGAGAGGGTTAAATCAAGCTTGCCTTCGAGGTAACTTCTTAGCTGAAGCCCTGGTGTGATGGTACGTATCACCGCATCAATTATTTCCTCTTCAGGGTAGCCTTTATTTAGTCCATTTTCAATTTGTCTGACCAAACTGGAAAATGTGAGTCTGTCCTTCTGTCCAGGTTCCCCTATTTGGCCTGATATTTTAAAATCTTTGCATCACATGAAATTATCTGATGGTGCAGCAGCCCGATTTTGCATCGGTGTGCTCTGTAAGGTCAATTTCCCACCGAAAAGCTGATGTATAGCTTCCTCTTTAGCTTGAAGTGTGGTCTGAAGTGTTTTTACTTCTTCCTGCGCACTCTCTCTCTTTATCTCCTTCACCTGCCAGGTCTGTCTCTGTCTTGGTACCTTCAATTAAGTCATTTTTACAGAGCAAATAGGAAAGTTCCTCATCTTCCAACTCAGCCAGCTCTGCTTTTTCCACTTGACTTATGATGAGCGTGATTAGCTGGCCTCGAGTTTTCTCTGCCAATTGTTCTTTTTTCAGTCCTAGTATTTGTAGATCATTGCATATTTTTAGCAGTTGTTGCATGTTAAGTTGGTACAAAGCACCTTTAATTTCTAGCTGTAACTCTTCCCGCTCAGACTCCATTTTCGTCGGAAGAGTCGGCATAAAACAGTTCACTGTAGGTTTCTATCAGCTTTGTGGTACGGTGCTGCCCCCCTATGCAATAACAACCATGACATCAAAGCTGTCAAAATTATAAAATTTTGCATGGCTCCTTTTTAACAGTATACACTGGTCTCTTGAACATATACCTTTTTGTAGCCTATAATCTGTCACACATGGTAGACATCATTTTTGTCTGCAATAAGTCATGAAATTACTGTCTTGCAGAAAGTAACTTATCTCATTATGCCGGGTAATTGCACAAAATGTGCGGGAGGGAATTGGCGGTATTTATCATGATTATAAGTCTGATTCCTTACATTAAAACACATTACTCTGGAAATGCAGCGACCTTGCAACGCTGCAGTCGGCATCTAATCCTACCTCCCCTGGTTTTGTCTTCGTTGCCGTGGCTTTGCAGTAACTCAGCGTGACGAGGTTTTGGTCCAGTGGAGTTTGCTCGTCCACATTCAGAGGCAGGACGTATCTCCTTGGGAGGTTTCTGCACAATGAGTTGTAAAACTGCCAAAAGAAATTAGACAAACCAAAAAAATGCAACATGTGTGGTTTTGAATACATATTCAATCTAGACAGCAATAATCAAACCCAAACAAGCACAGACACAAAAAACGTCTTTGTTCTGATTGAAGTTTGTCTTTTGATTAAACCAATTCATTCCTCGCATTTTAAATCAAACATTTCACCATCTCAGCGCATCAAATGCTGACAGGTGAAAAGAGGCAAAGAATGTTTGATGTAATTGAAAAAAATAAATAAATAAATAAAAAGAAAAAAGAAAAATACAAGTTTGAAGAAAATGACAAACAAAAAAAAATATCTTGTTGATTTAAACTCAAGGTTTTTTGGGTGAATGAGAATGCAAGTAGCAGAATTAGGATTACACAGAAAACATCTGTGTTATAATTTTATGAGACGCCACAACAATCTGAGTGGCACACAGAGCAGAAGATGAAATCAAAGCATCAACCTCATCCATTTCCTGTACAGATTCTCTCCGCAGGTTCTCCAAGGTGAAGTCCCCAATGATCTCCCCGTCGTCTCCACAGCACATGTCCATCACCAAGAAGCCGTTGTCCTCAAAGGCGTTGATCTGATGCAGAGTGAACATGGGTGCTGCTCGATACTTCACCTCACTCTCCTGTTGGATCAAGAATCATCAAACAGGAGGAAAACAGACTCCTGCGTGTTCTGGATAAAGATTTAGACACAAGCTCCCTCTGAAACAACTCACATCGTGCTACACCTTAACGTTTGTGAGCTTAATGAGTGTGCTGTGTAATGAGATGAAGAAATCACGAGTAACGATGTCTGAGGGAAGGCTATGCCGTCTGAGTGACTTTGTCAAAATAAATAAGGAAAAGGGGTAATCGTGCATGCAGAGATTAATCCGTAGCTTTCCTATTTGGTTATGGCTTTTTCTTACCAGCTGTGAGTTTGTGTTTTCTGCTTATTGCACAGAGCATGCAAATGTTTGGGCACCCAAGCTGATGTAATCAACGCTGTCCGAGGAAGGAAAAGGTAGGAGACTGTGTTTGCATTTGTTTATTTTTCATTTACAGAAGTTCCAAAAACCCCACATGAAGCAAAAACAGCGACTGCATTCCAGAAAATGTTGTTTTTCTTATTTTTCCTCTTAAGTTTGTTTTGATTCTTTTTATTTTAATTTTACCAGTTTTGAACTGTAAAATTTAGGAAAACTCTGACTTTGACGAGGCTTTTTGTGTGAAACATGTTTTTGAACATTTTGCCTTTCAGAACAAAGGGTATTTTTACACACCTGGCCTGTGTGCTTGTCCACCAGGTGGAAGATCACGTCACATCGAGGCTCCCAGGTCATGATTTTCTGAAAAGGCTTTCCTTGTATCTTGTACAGCATGAACCTCAGCAGGTCCAGCTTGATCGGCTGCTCAACAAACACGATGTAGTTCTCCGACATGACTGGAGAGGAGCAGAACACACAGGTGGAAACATGCAATAAAAATCAAAGACCTATGACTGTTTGGACACATTTTAATGCTATTTCCTCATTTATGCACATTGGGTATTATGGGCTGAAGCAAAATATTGCATGGCTATCTGACAGGTCAGAAAACCATCTATCATATTGTTGTGTTATTTCCTCTCTGAAATCATCACCCTGTTTGCAGCAGACCACATCCATCAAAGTCAAATCAGTCAAATTATTATTTATTTGCTTCAAAATGAACTTTTCCTGACAAACATTTCCAAGGTGAAAACATCTGTAAAGCATGAAAGTCAAAACTGAAGGCGTAAACCTTCTTCTTTATTTGAAATTCAAGTGAGAGAGCTATCACATGAAGATTCTTGAATGGCAATTCCTGACTTGTGAGATTTCTTTGAGCCCAAAAGTCTGGCAGGACATGGTCTGAGATGTGATCAGGGAACTGGTGCAGCACAACAACCAAGCGAGGCAGCGTTGTGTTGAGTCAGCCAAAGATCGGAGTCTTATTTGTTTTATCTGACTGGCGTTGGCTCAGGGTTTGATTTAGAAGGGCTTCTTTGTCCTCTTGGGCATCAGCCAATGCATGATCTGTCAGTGCGCCCCAGGGCAGCTGTGGCTACATCGTAGCTCATCACCATCAGTGTGTGAATGTGTGTGTGAATGGATGAATGATAGACTGTAGTGTAAAGCGCTTTGGAGTCCTTACTCTGAGAGGCGCTATACAAGTGCGGGTCATTTATCATTTAGCATCATATTAAATCCAGACTCCCTGACGTTTTACTCCACTGACAGCCATGTAAAAGCTGCAGCTGCAGCAGCTTTCTCCTCCACCCCAGCATCTACATTATGCACTAAGCTTCCGATACTGTTTACTTTACTGAGATCTGTGTTCACGTGTTTGTTTATCAGACGGATTAGTTCCCCCAGCAGACATTTTGTTGCCGCTGGGATTTTTGGAGAACTCCCACAAAAAGCAGAACTTCCTCTGCCAAATATAACTGGGTGCAAAGCAGAGCTGAGAGAGTAGACGGCATCCGCAGACAAGTAAACACAGAATTACACCTGGATAAACAAAACACCAGCATGAAAAAACATTTTCTGCAAACCAGTCTTGGATTTTAGCGGAGGAAAAGACCAAAATCAAAATGTTCCCATTGATTGTCTTTTAGGATTCAGATATAACATTTTGTTGGAGGGAAACGATAGGAACGGGCAGGATAGGGAAAAGAACAACAAAAGAAAAAGGCTAAGTCACCATAACTGACAAGAAAAGCATGACTGGACAAAACTCAAAGGAAGAATATTAATATTATAAGTGTTGGTAAGAAGCTAAATGTATCGATTTTAATCAAGTAATGCACCCACACATCCTAAAGAAGGTTCTGGTATGTTGACAGAAGTGTTTATCTCACCAAAGCTGTGAAAATAGGAGGGTTTTCTAGATTGAGCAGCAGGGATGGAGCAGATCACTTCCGCTCCTGTCAGGTCTGCCGAGTCCTCCGTTGCTGTCGTCGGAGGAGGGACGCGGATGATGTTGTAGAAATAACCTGAAACAAAACCCCAAAAATTCCTGTTTTCTGTCATACTGTTGTGCGTTTGGACTAGGGTTGGGCATCGTTTGATTTTGAACGATTCCAATTCCTTGTTTCGATTCCAGTTCCTATTGATTCCCGATTCCGATTCTTTGAAGACATGGCATGTTACATGAGCTAGCTAACCACAGGTCATATGAAACAATCTTAACTTCAACATGAATTTTAATTCTATGAACAATAACATCACCTTCATTTAGACAAAAACATGTTTTTAAGAAAAAAAGAAAAAAACTTGGTGCACAACCAGTGTGTTTGTTTCTGACCACAACCAAAGTCTGGAAGAAGCCTATGGGATGAGAGGCTAAATGTCTCCAACAGATCCAGAAACGTCCAGCTGTTTTCAGCTAAAACTCTCAGGATGATCATGTCCAGGATGACTGAGAACTACACCTCCATGCTGCAGCAGCATTCAGTCAGAACAGAAAGTGATATTTAAATGTAGTTGCTGTCAGAAACAATCTAACAGATTTTAAACATTAAAAATCTCAACAGAAATAGTTCAAGAAGGGGAAAAAAATCTTATTTATTATTATTATAATTATTTATTGTGGCAGTAGCTGGTGTGGTCCACCACAGAGAAAGCTGCTCTAGCATGATGACTTTAATTATTCTACAGGTTATTGTTCAGCCTTCTGACGCACACACACACTAGTGTTGGTGAGCAGCTGTGTCTGACTGCTGACGCTTCGTGTGTTTTTTTTATTTCTGCAGTGAGACAAACTCACCTCACACCGTCCAGAGTTTGTTCTTTAAAGCTTCTATTAAATCCACCGTGTTGACATATTTTAACAAGTTTCCTCTACGCCGCACTTTTCGCTGCAGGAGTTAAAGTTTACATTACTGAGTAAAAGTCCAGCAGACGTGTTTGTTTATATTTGGCCGCTGCGCGCCGGGTGGGGGGACTCAGTGCTGCACACAGACAGCTGGTGTGATCAGCTCTTGATCACATTTTGCAGATCACGTTTATTTTTCCACTGAGATCGGCCGCGGATTTCTCTTCCGTCGGCTTGATGCCCAACCCTAGATTGGACAAGATGGTTCATGTACGTACCTCTGTGAAAAGTCTAGAAATCTAACAAGCATGTAAAATATCTAAACATTAAAGGTGCGGTTGACTGAAAAAAGGTATTATGTTGTTTTTAGAATAATTGGATCACTGAGTTTTTCATGCAGGCTGAACATGAAAATAGTCTCCTACATCTATCTCCTGGATTAGCTTCTGAAACTATGAAATTCTAGGATTTGAAAATCTTCACAGATCCCACTGTGAATTAGCATTCATGGACTCACCCACATTGACTCACGATGGGGAAGGCTGTTGTTGGTTTAGCGTCAGCAGCAGACTTTCAGCTAGTTTAAGCTAACTGTTAGCACTAGCAACTTGTGGAGATAAAACATCCACATATCAAGTCAGTGGTAGAGTCATGTTGCTGTTATCCAATCCGGGGTGAGATGTCCAAATATCAGGAAATAAGACTCCAAACACCACCTTATTAAACTCCCCTGTGATGTTGCACACTTGGCCCTGCTGAGCCAGGGCTTTTTTGTGCCCTGAGTACTACCTGCAAGGCATTCATCCCTACTAAAGACCACAGCAAATGTATTGATGAAATGCGACATCCACCCCTTTAAGTCTGGTGAAAACATGACAAAAGTTCCAATTTGAACAAGAATTAATTAAATCAACTAAAAGATACCCAGAGTCAATAAACAACACAATAAATGTTTTCTGGTTATTTTGAAATAAACACACCTTTAGGTCACATTTTAGGTCATCTTCGTAAACGTAGCAGTTTGCTGAATCAAAGATCTGCAGCTAAAAGCTTCCTCGTCAGGGTTAAGTGTTGCTGCAGAAAGCATCCGGATGCTAACGAGTCAGAAAATATAGAAAAACAAAAAATAAAAATAAAAAATAAAATAAAAAACAAGGTTACCACTTCTGCCATAAGAACTGCCCATGTTGTATGAAGCTCCTTCATGGTCATAGTGTGGGTGAGCTGTAGCTGAGTTGATAGCAATGTACTGACTCCAGTCGACCTTGTAATAAAAGTAAAATAAAAACCTTTTACAGTCATTACTTATGGTGTTTTCTTTTACATTTGACTACAGCGTTTAAAAGTCCATTTTCACCCACCTTCTCTTTTGTCTCCAGGCTTTGCGGATCCACTCTTCTCATGTAGTTGGTTTCTGTGCTGACATAATAGTCTCCCTTGTACTTGACAAAGTTCACATTAGCATTATCTGTAGCCTCTGTTCACACACGGGGCGGTCAAGAACATATAGTTTCAATAACACAACGCTTTCACTCCAACATTAAAAAGAAAAATTGTTTAAAACCCATTCCTTTCTATTTAATGTCTATATGTTTTACGTCATACTTCACATTGATCAGTTCCGCACAATATACACATATAGATTTGTGCTCTCCTATGGCTGACTAAAAATCACAGCGGCTTTCATTAGTCTGTAAAAAATATAACTCACATGCCTTCAGAGTAAAACAAGAAGCTCTCGTCATCTTAAGTAAAAGAAATTTTAAAAAGAAAGGAATATAAATCCTTTTTTTTAAAAGATCGAAAAGATTATATGAGGAAAATCTGTTTTTCAGTGACGTTTTTCAGTTTTGATATTCAGAAAATATCATGTCAAGGGTTTTTGCCAGCAAGGTCTGGTCCCAGTTCCATAATGGTTCTGTTAGTAAAAATGACACTTTAGCTGCCTTTTCTGTTGAACCTGAGAAGGTTGAACCAGCGGTTAAAATAATTGTGTCAGATTCAATTTTTACATAGATCTATTTTCTGTGTAAATCTAACATGTTCATAATTAGTAAAATGTCCAGATATTTTCCGTAGTTCTCTTTAATTTAATTTAATTTAATTTAATTTATTTTAATTTAATTTAATTTAATTAAGACACTTTCCTTCTGTCTTAGATTCATTTAAAGTTTAGGATTCTTCCTGCTCCGGTTCATTTAGATTTTTTTTGTTTGTTTGTTTGTTTTCAGTTGTAGTATATGTTATTATTTAATATCTCTTAAAAACAAAAACAAAAATAAAGACGGATCTTGAACTGAAAAAAAATTGCCAATCTTTTCCTAGTTAATTCAAGCAAGCAATTTCCTCCTGCTTGAAAACTGCCGAAGCTCCAGCCTAAACGTAAAGTGACTTGACTCTTGTTGTAAACTAACGTGTTATGGATCACCTGAATTGAAACAAAAATGTATTAACCAGATTTAAAATGAAATCAATTAAATTAAATTACATTAAAATAAATGAATTATACTGAACTCAAGTGAACACAACTGATTTGAATTAGGAGGAATAGAATAGAATAGAATAGAATAGAATAGAATAGAATAGAACTTAGATAAAAAGACTCAATGCTTGAGCACTGTAACGAGTAGCTGTTTGAGCATAAAAGTTAGAATTTTGTTTCTGTTTATTTGTTTTAATCAACAGCCAAGCACGCTGTGCGTATTTTTTTATTGGCAAATGTTGTTTGTTTGTCTGGTCTTAGCACCCAGCAGCACTTGCTCTGTGACATCAACTGTAAAGTACACTATTGGATAAAACACACGCTATTTTGTCTTTTGCATACATTTACAGTAGTAATTCATTTTAAAGCTTCAAGAACATGAAAACAAACACATTTTTAAGGATAAAAATACAGCATTTGGTCATGAGTTGCTGCTTTGCCAGTGTCAGAGCATGTAAAAGTACATGTTTTTACTTTTTTGAGCCTTGTAAACGTGTTCTAACCTGTCATTTCCCCTCATGTTTGTGACTAACCTTCATCCTCTTCACAGAAATTCTTCTCTTTAGGGCTTAGACATAGTTTACTACAACAGTACAGTTTTATCCCTGTAGGGAGCACCAAAAACCAAAATGCTACCAGAATACTACTGAGGAATGATTTACTAGCTACTAGTGGGTGGGTGTACTTTCCACACACACACACACACACACACATATATATATATATATATATATATATATATATATATATATATATATATATATATATATATATATATATATATATATATATATATAGAGAGAGAGAGAGAGAGAGAGAGAGAGAGAGAGAGAGAGAGAGAGAGAGAGAGAGAGAGAGAGAGTATACATACTTGGCAACTGAAAGCGTGACAAGAAGCGCTCCAAAAAGTTCTTGCAGGGATCAGGCATGGCTGATGTTCCAAACTCTGAAATCACGATGCGGTTCTTCTCTGAGTTGTTGACGTATGAATCACTTCTTAGAAAGCGGCTGCAGTAAGTTATGCTTCCCTGACAGATGTGGAACCGGTGCATCAGGGCCATGCCATCAAACCAGTGGTTGTATCTGAAAAAAGGTCATTTAATTTCTCAGATTGAAAAAAAGACATCTGTAGTAAAGTATGATCAGAATACATAATTACACAACTAGTTTAACATGAAATATTGTTTTTACTATAGTGTTTGAAGGCAATCCTTTATATGTGTGGTCATTTGTTTGCAGACAGCATGAAACTTTCACCTGTCATCCCCAAACTCAAACTTCCCAGGGCCGTTTCTCAGGAAGCTTCCATTGATCCAAGCTGGAATAGTTCCTTTGATAGTGGTGGGGATGGGCTCAGGGGTTTCCTCCACTGAAGACACTAAAGGCAGCAAACTCTCGAGGCCGCTGGCCCGCGGACATCGCTCCCTGCTGGATACTTATGGAGGAGAACGAAACACAATCACTGGAAATATAATGGAAATGTCCATAAGTATGAGGATAAAACCAATTCTTCTGCTTATTTAAGTTAAATTTTTGAATATTTTCAGACTAAATGTCATAATTATGGCTGCTACTTGTGCAAACTCATCATCTCTGTGTCACCACCTGGGAATATGACTGTCTTCCTTTTTATTACAGTCACAAATTCCTGTCTACGACGTTCTACCTCACTAACGCTGCAGCTCTGAAATACGTTTTGAACATTACACGATTAGAGGTCCAAAGTGACTCGCCGTGCTGAGCTCAGGTTAGAATATCAGTTTTTCTGACTGTGTAAATGTTATTGCAACCAATCAAGGTCTTGTTCGTTCCCCTGACACCGGTGAAAAAGACAGTAAAAAGGCGAATGTGCAGCAGAGAGATAACGATGAGTTTTGAATGTGATTACTGCTGCGGTGCAAATGATGGCTGAATGTGTGCTGTCACTTTTAGGCTGGAGCTTCTGCAGTTTTCAGCTGTCAAAGTAAAGATTTCTATAAACAGCAGCATCACTGACTGTGGATTTTATTAAACAGACCGTCTGAGATATTTTTAAAACACGTTTTGCCACGTTGCTTGAAGTGAACTTTACACAGCAATGGCAACCAATTGATTCAATGATTAGAAAAAAATAAATAAAGAATAGTATTTTATTGCCTCCTGGAAAATCCTCTTCCAGTCTAGTGCTGGTCTAGCCTGCCAGACTCATCCTCTGTTTAAATCTACACAGAGAACTAGTCTGGTTACTCACAGGCAGAGACGCACATGAGCTCAAAAATAAACCAATCAGAAAAAAGGCGGAAATGCCGACTGTACCACACGACACTAGAGTTTTTGCTGTAGTCAAAAATGGCGTCTTGCAAAAGCGCAAACATCTTTCTTTAGAAGAAAGGCTTTTAGCGCTTCTACTTGTTGTGGTTTTAAAGACATGTGCAAGTCACTTAGAACAAAGGAAAGAGCTGCAGTGAACTCTGCTTCAGACGCCATGTTTATGAGAAACTGCGTTGCGGCGTGTGTGTGACGTACGCTGCTCACCGCTGATTGGCTCAGTTAGGATTCTCAGGGGGTGGGGTTATTTGAAAAGAAGAGTTCCCAGACCCAAATGAGGAAGCATGCTAGCTGGTCCGGCTAGCACTGGTCCCCCTTCTAAATGACTGGATCATAACTCGTCCATCGACCTGCTCCTCTGAGCTTCTCTCAGCATTCTGCACAGAACACCCTCTGTGCACGAATCACACGTTCTCAGCAGAGCAGACAAACAGGAAGCTAACTAGCTGCCTAGAGTCGTGGACAGAGTGTCCAAGTTTGTTTGCGAATCTCATTTAAGGAGGTGTTCTGTGTAGTGTCTGGTCCTGTTCTTGTTGGGAAATGTTTAGGTCACGGAGTTATTGTCCGGGAACACAGCTGGGTCTCAAGCCTATCGGTCATATGAGAATGAGTATGTGTGTAAGCATGCGTGCATATGAGTGTGTGTGTATGTGTGTGCACGCACAAGAATCACTGTGAGCATGCAGATAGGAAAGAATGGTTTGTGGTGGGGTTTTTCCCAAAACTGTTGGTGGCGCCGAGCTCTTGAGGCTAATTCTGCCTTGTACAGTCACCACACACTGTGCATGTACAACTTGAAAAATTAGAACATGGTGCAAAAGTTATTTTGTCAGTAATTCAACCTAAAAGGTGAAACTAATATATAAGTGTCAAGAAAACAATACATTTTATCTTTAGTGTTTAAGATGATGATTAGTGTTAGTTTTGTCAGACTTAAAATGTTTGTTACCCTCAGGGCGTGTCCTCTCTGGAAGCCATCTTGAAGCTGCTAAAGGGGGAGCCCGCCTCAAATGCAGCCTTTTTATAGAAAATGTTTGACCATTATTGGAGGAACTTAGAGAAATGTCTAAAACAAATGTATAAACTGCATGTGGTTTAAATGTATATTTCGTTGTTGAGATTGTTACCTCCCCGACAGGAGGTGTCAAAATGTGAAGGAGGGGGCAACATAAGAAATGCGACAGTGGAGTTAAAATGGGTTTAATTGTTATAAAAGGTTCTAAAAACAAGTGCAAACAGATGGCGAGCATGATTAAGATAATGCAAAACAAAAGATATATATACATATACATACATATATATACATATACATATATATATATATACATATACATATATATATATATATATACATATACATATATATATATATACATATACATATATATATATATACATATACATATATATATATATACATATACATATACATATACATATATATATATATATATATACAAAACTTTCAAAAAGGTTAACATTAAAAGAGCAGTTACCAACATTAAAAACACCTCGTTAAAACTTATTAAAAGTTTCACCAAAACAGAAGGTGTTTCACAGAGTTGATAAAAGTTCTAAAACAATCTATTGACATAAAACACCTGGTTAAAACTTAGGTTAAAAGTTTTACCAAACAGAAGGTGTTTTAAAACCAAAGTCAATAAAATTGCATCACCAAGTTAACCTTTAAAACGATCCCTCTGGATCACTCAGAGCTTTAACTCTTTAAAGCTCATCAACTCAGAGTTAAAACTATAAAAGTTAAAAGTTAAAACTCTTCGACTCAAAGGGGTTTAAAACAAACTCTGAGGCCTGGAGGACAGCTGAACCCCTGCACTGCTGCCTCCCAGACTGCTGAAGGCACAGCCTTTTTATCCCAGGTGTGGGTCGTCAGCAGGATTCAGCTCAGCTGTGCTCCTCAGCAGCCTGGAAGAGAGGAGGAGGAGGGGCGGTGTCTGGCTGATCACCAGGGCTGGGTGATCCTGGCTCCTGCATCCCAATGGCCAGGCTGGTAGCCGTCACAGAGATGGTTATATGAAACACTTTAATGTGCTTTTCTCCTGTGAAAGGCTGAGGTGATTGGCCAATCTTAATTGGAGGCGGGGTCTTAAGGGTATGTATAGGGCTTTGGAGTTGATGTCACGCCACAGTGCATTGTGGGATCGTGGCGCCATGACAGTTGGCCAGAGAGCTAAACAAGCACACAGTGTTGGAGTGTTGGAATCGGGAGTGATAGAATCATGCTCGAAATCAGCGCAAAAGAAAAAGGGCTGTATCGCGACCGATTGTGCCCAGACGCCAAGAGAAGGTACTTTGAAAAAATTGCTTGCTTTGGTAATGTGGACCCATATGAAATAACGAAATGGAGTGGTAACCCAGACGATCTTCCACCTTTGTCCTATCCCGATATCTTCGCATTCCTTGTCTGTGGAGTAAGCGCATACACAGCGAAGCAGTTTAAGAATTATAAATCCCTGGAGGCCCACATCCAATTCACGAACGGTGCAAGATTTGTCCGTCTTTAAGCCTCCACGCTGCGAGTATGTTGTCATTAAGACAAAGGTAAGTCGCTTTGAACATGTTAACTTTCTAAACAACTTCCTTGGTACAGTTTTTGATTTGCATGTACAGCCAACCCATCTATAGCAGCCTTGGTTAATTACAGACTTAATATTAAAAGTGATTTTTGTGTGTTTAAGGTCCTGCACTCACAACGACTGAATGAAACTGCATCACAGCCATGGGTCATTGTGAGCTCCAATGGGAGGGTTGAGGCTGCTCACTGCACATGCATGGCCGGAGTGGCAGAGACCTGCACCCATGTCGCTGCTCTGTTGTTTAAAGTCGAGGCTACAGTGCATATCAGAGGAACCAAAACTGTAACAGAGGAGCCTGCATATTGGGTGTTGCCTGGAAATATGACCCGGATACAGCCTGATGTTGCACATAACATTGACTTCTCCTCAGCAGCAGCCCAAAAACTTGTTCTTGATGAAAACATAAACACACCATCTGCATCGAGAGGCAAAAGGAGGCGATCGCAAAAAAGGCACATTCCTATTGCAAGGTTGGAGGATTTGTCACCATTACTGGATACGCTGCAGAAGCACAGTAAAGCAGTGACTTTGTGTGGAGTCGAAAACTATTACACCAACTACACTACAAACTCACCCACATTACCTCAATCCCTAGCGTGTTTACACAACAGAGACACTGAGTCCCTCGGCCTTCCAGATCTTCAGGTGCACTGTCAAGTTTCTTACGGCAGCACGTGTTACAGAGGCGCAGGCAGCAGAGATTGAAGCACAGACTAGATCACAGCACATGACACCTGCATGGTTTCGCTTGCATACAGGGAGAATCACAGCTTCGGCTATGCATGCTGTTTTGGCTACAAGTTTGGACTCCAGCCCATAGTGTTGTGAATCGTGTGTGTTACCCAGAAAAGACCTTTTCTACTGTGCAAACAAGGTGGGGTGTCGAGCATGAAGAGGATGCAAGAAAGGCCTACACCGAGATAATAGCATCAAACCACCACAAGTTGCAGGTGCGTTTATGTGGTTTCTGTGTGAACACCAATTTTCCAGAAGTAGGAGCATCTCCAGACGGACTGACAAAATGTGACTGTTGTGGAAAGGGGTGCCTGGAGATAAAGCGTCCTTTTAAACAACGAACAGCCAGCATTAAGGAGGCTTTGGCTGCACAGGACAAAGACTTTTGCTTGGATGTAGCTGCTAATGGTCTTCAGTTGAAGCAGGCACACCCATACTACTGTCAGGTACAAACACAAATCTTTGTTACGGGCGCCAACCACTGTGATCTCGTTGTGTGGACACAGAGAGACCTTGCTGTGATCCGCATCTTTCCTGCTGTGGATTTCTGGAAACCGCGCTTAAAGCAAGCACAAGAGCTCTTTGTTAAAGTGTGTCTTCCTGAACTTGTTGGGAAATACTTCTCGAAACAACGTGCTGCTCTAAATAGTCTGTAATGTTTCAGTTGTGTTACAAGATTGATCACAACTGTGTGGTGGGATGTAAATTGTTTACATGTTCTTTTTAAAGCACTTGCTAAATACATGTGAAAAGATCAATAATAAAAAAACAAATATACTATTCTTTCTTCTTTTATTAAAACAACTTTACACGAAGTACAACTATTTACAATGTGCTGTACATTAAAAAAAACAGCTGTAACAATACTCAACAGGAGCAAGTGTCATTTGGCCCTGGTTTGACAACCACACTGGGGCACATATTAACAAAAACACAGCAAACCTTAACGATTTTATCAAGAAGTGTTGTGTCTTCACCCTCACATGATAAGAGTTATCTGATAGGCATTGTAGTGTGTAACATTTTGTACTTGTTGCGCAAAGTACCTATTACTCGTTCAACGTGAATTCTCAGGTGGGCAATTGCTCTTGTTTGTTCAACCTCCCTGTCCTCAAATTGACAGTAGCCTTTTGTGAAAGCTGGAATCTTGACCTCCGCACACATCATTCCTACAGCATCTCAGATGTCAAAGCCTCTGCCTGCCAATACTATGTCCCCTGGTAACAGCTTTTGAAGAATGCCACATCTCTCTGTGATGTGTTTATCTGATGCACGGCCCCCCCATCCCCTGGAAATGAAAGAAATAGCTCCATGGGGTGTAATCCCGATTAGGTATTTTATGGTGTGTGTACACTTGTAATGGGAGTATGTTTGTGCACGTGCCTTTAAATTTGATGGTCGTTCTGTTCGAATCTCAATACAGTCAACTATGATGGCCACTCGTTTTCCAAAGGTTTCAGTAAACTGTGGAGGCATTGTGGCCTGCAGACAATGCCTCTCGGGCCAGTGCACCAGTGCTCCTAAGCGGGCATACACAACATCAATGTATCGGCGAAGACAGTGTTTTGTGGGACACATCAAATAGATGACAAAGATGCTGGACTGGAAGATCAAGTCTCAGACGCATTAGTGTGAGTAAGAGCGTTTGGAAACCTGTCAGTTTCTTTGATATTGGCAGGAAGTCTTTGACGGTGCTGAAGAGGGACATGAAGACAGAGTAACAATGTAGACCAGTGTAATATCTTACTTTTTCGGTATTGTCCTTTAAGAAAGTTTCATTCAGCTCTGTCTTTTGCAACTGTGCTCGAAGCAGTCCGTTCTCCTCCAACAGCCGGTTTATTTCAGCTCTGCCCTGTTCATTGCACACACAATCCTTCGTCTGCCCTTCAACTTCCGTGACGCTGTCACTCCCATCACCACTGTCCACATTTGCAGCTGGTACGTCAACCTCCACTTGTCCAACACAACTGCTGTCAACTGCCTCCACGACATGGTTATCTTGTTGTTCTTCTTCTGTCTGACCTTCATTGATCATCAAGCCTGTAAGATAAAATAAGGTGCATAGACATAAGGTTAATGCACACCAATATTCCAATGACAGTTGTGTGATTCATCTTTGAGTTTTGTGCGGGTAACTGTACAATAAGTGCAATTTAGTATGTTTTTAGAGGGGAGGGGAGAGGAGGGGGGGTTACCTGCAATCTGTGCTCTTTTTCGCTTCCGTTGCATACGCCTTGCGTGCCGATCGGAGTCCGATACAGGTATGTCGTCGTGGCCCATGTGCAGTGTTGGTGCCCAGTCTGGATTTGTTACATCCATTTCATATGCTGGTTTGCCTGCAATAATGCCAAATCAAAAGCTACTCAGTCGACATGACGTGGTTCTGCAGCATCACATATTAGCATGTGTTATCTAATTATCTATGACCGCAGTGCATTGAAAATAACTCTAAAAGCCTTTTAAGAGTTATATGAATTAATTTAGAACTCACCGGAGAGAAAATGCCACGAGCAAACCAACAAAAATTTGGGGATTGCACGGAACTCCATATCCACTCGTCTCACCGCTGCAATCCATGCCTGGCGTCTTTGTTTGGTTATATCGGATACAATGGTTCCCTCACCTTGCCGTCAGGATGGAAAACGATGAAAAGATAGACCATTATCCAGTTTGTATCCTTTACGATCGTGAGATCTAACGTTGCCACCGACCACACAACACGTACGACCCATAGCTGAAGCTGTATGCTTTGTCTGGCCATGTGTCATGGCGGCAGGGGCGTGTCCCTGCTCCCGTGACATCACGCTCCAAAGCCCTATATAGGTGGACTGCTGGGTGTGGCGGGGGCTGAGAGAGAATCTGTGAACCTGACAGACTCAGGAACTGTAAGAGGCATGGATAAGGTGCCATTTTGAAAACTGAGAGAGAATAAATTGACTTCTTTGACTAAT